TTGTTCTAAGTAGGTGCTTTAGACCACTGAGCCATCTCACCAGCCCCTGGCCCGTTGTTTTTTATTTTAAATTTTTTTCCCTGGTCATATTTTTTGTTTTGAAACAGGGTCTCAGTATGTGGCCCAGGTTGGGTCTAAATTTGAGATTCTCCTCCCTTTGCTTCTCAGTGCTGAGGATACCTGCTTGTGGCACCATGCCTGGCAATTAATTCATCTTTTTTTGGGGATGAATTTCAAAATGTTACTCTGTTTTTAGCTGCATGGGACATTCAGTTGTGCTATACTATACAATTTGTTGGCTTTCTCATTGACATTGTCAATCATGTGTTTTCTCTTCCTGATAATTCATACATTTCTACATTTTTTTAAGTGCGAAGCATTCAACAAATGGTAACAAGGCAGAGCCACCAGAAACGTACAGCTGATTTTCATGACAAATATGGTAATGCTATATTAGTTGGTGGAGTCACATTCTGTATTGCTGCATGGACCTATGTAAGTATTACCAATTTTTTTTCTTTAATTTTTTCCTTAACAGTGCTGGGGATTTAACCCAGGACCTCACATATACTAGATAAGCACTCTACCAATGAACTACACCCTCTACCTCTATAATTTTTATTTCAGATATATTTCAATTTTATCTAGCATGCTATTTAAAGTGTTTTAACATAGAAGTCTACACTTCTATTTAGAAGGGATTTAGAAGACTACCCACTTAGTGGAAATGTTTCTTCATATCCTTTTATTTTATTTTATTTTTTCTTTTTTTTCGCGGAACAGGGGATTGAACTCAGGCCCTTGTGCTTGCCAGGGAAGTGCTTATTCGGCTGAGCCATCTCCCCGGCCCCTTTATTTTATTTTTTTAATTTTTTTGCAGAACTGGGGATTGAACTCAGGCCTCTGCACTTACCAGGGAAGCGTTTATTCTACTGAGCCATTTCCCTGGCCCTCCATTTAGCTTTACAAATTTTATTAGTATATGTTGGTAGCACATGGTTACATTCATTGTGGGGAGTTGTTACATGTGCATAACATATCTTGATTCTTTTTATATCCCCTCCCCTTGCTTTTGTGTTAACATTTCAAAATAACAAATTGCTTACTAGATCACAAGGTAGCCCTTTCCATATTGAGTAGATGGCAAAAGATCATTTTTTTTTTTTTTTTTTTTGCGGTATGGGGGATTGAACTCAGACCCTTGCGCTTGCCAGGGAAGCGCTTATTCCCCTGAGCCATCTCCCCGGCCCTGATGAAAGATCTTATACTGAGTAAAATACACGTCCTTCTTTTTTTTAGTGGTACACCACCCTTAACTTAATTGATTTTTTTTTTTTATTTTTAAAGGGAATCAAGGGGCTGGTGAGATGGCTCAGTGGTCTAAAGCACCTACTTAGAACAAGCTTAGCAAAGCATCAGG